CATTTTTTTAATCTAGAAACTCATTAGTCAAACCCATGAACTGCATCTACATCCTCCAAGGTCTAAGTACTATAATGAAGCTCTAAAGCATGGAAATATCTGCATTTTTTTTTTAATATTTTTTTTCACACTTTATACGATGATATCAGCATATAGAAATCCAAGGGAAATTAATCAGTCCACGTACAGGTACAAAGTAGAAAGATTAGAACTCTACTTACACTATGAGAAGTGCAGTTCAACAGGAAAGAGATTCCTTTGTGTATCAGTAGGATTTGTCAACCAGCGGCAGTACAAACAAGCTGCTCCAACCACCGATATAAGTGACAACACTGCTAGAATACCGAAATGCGAAACATCATTAGCAATTATAGCAACTCCTAGCATTATTGATTCTGCCATGCTGGCAACCGCGAGTTCTGTAGTCCCTATAAGATTAACTTTAGATGGAGGAATCCCGGTTTGAAGAATTTGTGCTCCTACAACATCATATGACATGTGTCCCAGTCTTGACAATACCTGATAAAAAGGATGTGTTTTTGGGTTATCAGATAATATGCATAGCTAGAACATAAGTTTGGGCTAACTTCAAATTTAATATAAACATGGAAGTGAGGGCTGAGTGAAGCTAAATTAACCCAAACGGAACCTTTATATTGATTCAGAACATTCACGCATATTGGTATATTGACAGGTTAAAGAAGAAAAGGTAAAAGGAGCTCACAATCAAACATAGGAAGAATGCAACTGGGATCTTTTGAGAAAGAGAGCCACTCCAATACACAGCAACTGCAATGGTAAGAAGTGAAGCCTGAAATATAAGGCCAGCTGCTCCAGCCTGGAATAAACAATTCATTAAGATTAGAGTGCGATCAATAAAAAGCTAAAAACTTGAACAGAAAATCCTACTGTACCTTCAGAATGCCAAGACTCTTAACCATCTTTGCTGACACAAATGTTGCTGCAACACCCATAAATGCACACAGTCCACTAAACCCTCCGATAATTGTAGGATTTAAACCTGAAGCAAAAACTCATATACATTATTATATAGATGTGGTTCATAACTTATGGGGAAATTCAACCATCGCCTTAATGTTTTGCATAAGTAATGAATCGTAATCGAAAGTCATAACAATATCAACTTCTAGGGGTCAATCTTGATCAGATTTAACGTTAAGAGAGGCAACATTTGACGTTATTTAACACCTCCAGCCTGTAAAGTTTACCAACATCAGTTCTTAATGCAAACTTTGGCATAACATTTGTACCAAAATTTACGTTTTGGACCAGTAATAATCATATACCATCGCATAACCACTTCAAGTACCTCTGCAGGCATCCAATAGTCGCAACATAATTAAAGTTAATAGTAAATCTTCCACAAGTCTAGTTGATTACTATGCATCTCCTTGTTATGACGTATGAAATAGCTTTTAGGGTTCACCTGTATACATATTTGAGAAACTGCACCTGGAAATATTTTCCCATGCTTTCCGCAGAAATGGTTTTAGTGCATGATACTTATTAGTGTTTGTTCCAATGACACGATTATTGCATTCAACTAGAAAACTTATCGAAGTTCAAATCTGAATCAGTGTGTAAATGTGTTGAAAAATTTTACACTGTCTCTGAATGCGCGAAACTATTGAATAAAAAGCAGCCTGTACTGTTGAGCTGCCAAAAGAATTAGCTTTATTTTCAATTTGATGAAAGCAAGAATGGTCTACAGAAAGAACTCAACAGGCTGAAGATAAATCTGAGTATCTGATAATGGCCAAATTATGGAACATTGTTCGCAAGTTCAGCTAAACATACAAAAGTCTATCTCCCGACATATAGAGCACGCTATAGATCTTCTTTGTTTATCCTTAATGAGAAAAATCTATGTGCGGGCTCCTAATTATTTTCTCAGAACTTATGCACAATAGACCACTTTATGTCCTCTGCTACAATCAATTCTAAGATGAACACATAACATTAAACTACTTTCTACACCAGTAAAAGGTGAAACTTATCTTTATATATCTCTAACTCCCATTACAATTATATTGATTACTGTTGCTGGCTCCAAATAGGGATGCTTTCTTTCTCTGAAGTGAACATCAAGATTAAAACTGTCACCATATTCCCATTGCACATTAATATTTATCAATTATTTCTTCAACTAAATAAACACATGTCTGAATACACCATAGCCAACAACAACTCAAAGTCACTAAGAAGAATCTACAATTGAAAATGTGGCCCACAACCACTCACAACAATGCTGCCGGTATAATTGAAAAATGTCCCACATATAGATCATGTCTTCCTCTTTCCAGCTAAACAACCGAACTCTTTTCAAGTATCTCCATGCATACAACACGCTTGTTTTTCTATTAAGTGTCTCTTCCATTTCTATCACTTATATAATCAGCACAAACTCCGACCATGCACATTTTCCAATGCCAAAGTTTCAAAAAAAAAATCTTTTGATATCTCTGAAGTCTGGAACACTAGCCAACATCAGATATTATTCCCAAAATTATAATGGCACTGTCACCAATGTTTTTATGTTACCAGGCAGTATTAAAAGTCGATAAATGATAGAATCTTGATCCTTGATGCAAATTAAAGGCAATTTATACGAAATGCATGCATCAACAAGTTGTATTAAGTCTCCATGCCAAGAGATATCATGCCGGAAACAGTTATTAAAGATTCCCCATAATACCATGTTGTGTTAAGAAAGCAGTCATCAAACCACCAGGAGCAAGAACAACGTTGAAGTAGAGTAACACATAAGCAAGGCTTGCTGGCAGAACAGGCTGCTGAATATATTCAAACCACCCATGCTTGATAACTTCTATACTTGAAGCCACTATCAACAAGAAAGACAGAATAAGCGCAAACAAGAANAAAAAAAAAAAAAGAAATGTCAGCTTTCATCACACAGATATAGTGATGTGTATATAAACATACAAATTATATATAAGATTATAAGCATGTGCAAATTCATACATATGCGTATATATTTATTAATTAACGCATAGATTTATATATAAACCATAAATACTTTTACTAAAAGCACTTTTTTGTCTTGAACTTTACAATTTACGATATTTACCAATATTTGAGGTATCTGGCATAGGTCCTTCAAGATTACTGAAGCAAAAAGTTTGTGGACACTTTGCACGGTCCAGGACTCCGGCCGAAAGCTTGTTTGTCAACCATGTAAGGAAAACCTATCTCAAGCAGAGAAAAAATCAGCAAGTAACATATGTGTGTGTGTGTGTGTGTGCTAGTACTAATTGAAGACCCAGACAGCAGCAAAACTATACAATACCACAACAGGCAGAGACCAAATCATCAAACTAGCAGCTAGCTTTAAGCATGTCACTGGTTCATGCTTAGATAAGAAAATGCCAAATAATGCTGCTCCTGTTATCTGGATGTGTGCAAAAGCAGGAAATCATCAGCCACAACATAAGAATCAAATTCATTTCTTTAACAGTCCACAAACAAAAATACTAAGTCACACAAATGAAATATATATACACACGTTACAAATTGGGGGAACTATGAAGAGGCACTTCTTCTTATTACCTCACAGAGGAGATCAATTCTACTAAGGACTGCATTAGCTTGAGCAAGCGCTATTGGTCTGTTTGTTCCTGCCAACTGAAACAACAGATCCTTAGTAAATATAAAAATATGTAAGACTTTACAGAAGGCTAGAGGACTCCACATGATGATTGGTGGGGAAGGGAAACTAGCAAAATAATTAAGATCATTACCAAAACAACCCAGTCACGCTCCATGGCAACCCCAAGGGCAAGCCCAGAGAGCCTTTCAATAGCCAAAGCTATCGTGAGCATAAGAAACCAATGTTGGACAAGAACAGAAGACACATGAGTGGAGCTGACTGTGTGAGCTTGAATTATCATCCCAACAGATAGCAACTGAGCAGCTGCCTGGAAGAAGGAAGTATGATAACAGAAACTTTTTTTGTTTTTTTTTAATGAAAAAATGCTTCAAAATTATTAAAGCAAAAGAAAAAGTAGGTACCTGAACAATAGTCAAGCAATTATATGCTGGTACTCTAGGAAAATGGTCCATTAGCTTTCCCACCAATGGGCCTCCAGCAATTACTGCAAGCTGTTTTACGTGTAGATGGTCTCAGTTATCCAATTTCTTGACTTTGCTATTAAATGGACCAACTGATACCTTTGCGAAAAATCCCATGACAGCCACAGGAAGAAGACTCGGATGAATCATTGCAATGGCTGCAGGCCAAGCGAAATTCCAAAGCTGCTCAATGAGATTCCCAGCCAAGCAACTAGCATATAATGCTAAAAAAATATGTGATCCACTATTAAAAGCTGAATCTAAAGTTAAATGGGCATTTCACCGACAAAAATAAAGAAATAACACCTTTAACTATTATAAGAGGTGATTCAAACTGGAACAACTTTTGAGGACCTCGAACCTAAGAACGAAAAATAGATTAAATCGAGCACGTGGATAGTGAAAAAACAGCTTTCGTAATCACTTTACAGAGAACTGACGAAGCTACTCATGCTAAAGGATTCTGCTCATGACAGGCAATGGACATACTGTAGTTAAACAGGGGGAGAAAAAGCGTAGACAACAATATCTCTGTAGCAAGCATGTAGAAACCTAAGGAGGCATCCAAGAAGTTTGCAGTGCCTGAATACCAATTCCAAATCGCAACCAAGTGAATAACCATTTCTCATGTTGATAAATAGAGATTGAGAATTCGCATGGCAATCATCCATCTCAAAGCCCCAAAATTACAAGACTTTAGGGAGTTGTAGATCCACCTCCTTAAAGAAGTCTTCTCTAATTCTTACATTTTCACGTTTAATATAGTCATTTGCAATTTCTTCTAGGACAACAGTCAGAACGCTAACCATAGAGTCCAGCTGGATGTGCTGGAGTTGCAGCAATGGCTTTCTGCTCCTCCGCTGTTAATACCTACATGATCCGCGAGAAAGCTAACGAAGTGTAATGTGAAAAGAATTATTAAAACAAAATTATTAGCCAAACAAACTTACAGGCAAATCCTTCAATATAGTGTCAACATAGGTGCTCCCAACAAGTAAGTCAACTCCTTCAGTCTCCAATGTATCAGACTGGATTTGAACAACTGGAACAGAACAATTTGAATCAAGAGGTATGGTATTCTCATAGACTTCCTCAGTTGCCACGGAATTCAAGACATCCGTGTTGGTGAATATACACCTTAAATGAAAAGAATCAAGCCTGCAATTGAATAACAGACTTAGTTACATCTGAAACTTTTTAGGGAAAAAATAAAGAAAGAGAGAAAGAAAGAAAGAAACTATGAAATATCCAACAATAAGTCTACTCAATATCAACTATGAGAAAGCATTTTGCTTTCACCACATTGTATAATCATTAGATTATTGAAGCAATTTTGTAGAAAGTTTATTCAACAATCACATGTAACTCTTTGCTCAGTGAATTTTCCAGGAATCACCAAACGTTAAGGGACTTTTATAGCATAAAAATAATTCTCTACACGTGAATTAACCAGGGTGCTTATTTACAAAAGACTCATCTTGAGGCGCTTTCAGAAAAAGAATCCAACATATCCCAGATACAACTTATTAAAACACGAATGCACAATCAAACATATCATTAAGAAAACATTGAGTAAACGAAAAAGGAAGGCCAATTTCAAAGTTAACAGAAGTTGACACATTAAATCACCAAATAAATCCAACTCAATCTCCCAACAACTTAACGTCCCCAAAAAAACCAACCAAAGTTATATAGTACAACAGAAACTGCGTGCCTGGGAGGGGCAAAATGCGCATTGTGAAATTTTCGAGCTGGAGATAGGTGATGAGGGTATAATCTACGGTAAGACGATAACACCGGAAATTGATGATGGACTCGGCCACGGGAAGCAAAAGGCTGGCCATGAGCGATGGTAACCACACCCATGGCCGTCCTTTATCCGTTGACTCCTTCTGTACTAACCACTATTTTCACCTAATTCTCTTTGATAATTGCCGGCACTGCCAATTCTTCTGCTATTGCTTCTTCTCGATGAAAACCCATGCAACATCATCGGCCGAAACCTCAAATTAGGGAAATAGAAGAAAGGAAAAGCTTCGAACTTGCCTCCGACCAATTGACGTCCTTTGAGCTCAACAATCGATTGAATGATTGTATATGATGACGAAGGATATGAAGTTGCAATGTGAGGCAGTTATTTCTTTTGTGCGTGTGTGCGTGTGCGAAAATGGACGTAGATATGGGATTTTTTTGGATTGAATGGTTGAGTGGTGGTTTTATCTGAAACTGAATGTGAGGCCGCCGGAATAAGGGGAGAGATTGAGTCGGAAACTTTTAAACGAAATAGGTGGCACGGTGTATGGATGCCATAAATCTGACGTGTTCGGATGCTCGCCACTACTCACAATACAATGTTTTTGGTCTAATTTTATTTAATGTAAATAAAGTCTTGGATCACATAGACAAAAATATAAAAAAATAAGAAATTAACTCCAATGCAAAGATATTAGATCTCTAATTGGGTCTAAAATAGACTCAATGGTAAACCGAGTCTCATTTTCTTGCTGTCACATCAGTAGGACTCGGTCTAATTGCATTTGCATTGAAATATATATTTTTCTAAACTGGTCTATTTCCTATGCCGGTATATTTTTTAAAAGAACCAAAGCATTGTAAATGCTCTAAACGGACTTGTGTGCAAACAGAATCGAAATTTGACCAAATGAAAACCGAAAATCAAATTGAAATTTGTAGTCAGGTTCATTTTCGAACCAAAAATCTATGGTTCAATCAGTCATGGTCACCGCCCGGTCAAGCCGGTGGTCAACGGGTCTTTAACCGGACCGTAGTTATACAAACTGAATCGATGGTTCGACTTTTTTTTTTTATTTTTACTTAATAAATCGGTTCTGCTCAAAACCAGTTGTTCATAAACTGACTCGAAATCGCAGCTTTATTGAACCGGGCCATAAATATTATTCGGCTAGTTCCGGGCCCTCCAAAATGCGGCCGGACACTTATTATCGGTTTTTCGGTTCGATTTTGCTGAACAGTTATATCCAAAAGAACTGATATTTACACTTTTTGGACGATTTGGGTCGGTTAACTAATTTTTGTACGCCCCTTTGTATTCAAAAGAACTATTATCTATATGTATGTGCAAACAAATAAATGTCACAAGTATTGCATGTATATGAAATATTATTGACTTCGCAAACATAATAGCGTATCACATTTGTATTCATGACACGATTGGTATGATAGGATGAAATTTAATAAGAATTAAATGAGTTGAATAATGAAATGATTATGAGAATGAAATGAAACAATTTTTTTCATTGATATGTTTAGTATAAAAAATAAATAAGATCTGAATAGAATGACATTATCATCATATATTATCATTCGTCAATATTTTATAGGACATGCGTGCCTTTTATCGTTGTGACCGCGTGTGTTTGCCAAACAACATGCTTGTTTTTGTTTGGATGATGAATGTTATTACTTTGATGAATGGGTGTTTTTTAGCATTTATCTCATCAATACATGTTCTTTATTTATTCACAATAAATTTGCCTTCCGAGATTGCTCGACTCTATCTTTTGTAATGTGAAAATTGTTAATTAAAATTAAAAAGTGTTTTGAATTGGATTTTCGGATACTTAGTTAAGGTTGATATGTACATATGTCGTGGGAAGAAGCGGACGGTAAGAAATGGAGAATAATGCAAGGATTTGATAGTGTAAGAGCAGTCTAGGTCGGCCAATAGTATTACAGCTCGGACTAATGCGTCCCTTAGTATTCATGACGAGAGTGTATATCTCGTGAGCTGTGTAATTTTTCATCCATTTTTTCTTATATATTACAACAATATTTATAATAACTGTAGCTCGAGTACCGTTCATCGGGTCGTACGACCCTCATTTAATTGATTGGACAGGCGCATTTAATGCACCCTGTAGGTCTATGGCTAGTGGGCTGCCGGTTTAGCTGGCTGGCAGAGATGTAATTTCTCATCATTAGATTGCAAGTGACCTTTAATTTATTGCCTTATGTTCGGTCTGTTCGCCCAGCTCGGGTTGACGTCCCTATCATGGGTGTCAGCTGCTTTGCCTTTTTCGGCTCGACTCTTTTCTATTTGGGCTGGTCTACGCCTCCAGCTCAGCTCATTGGACGCATGTCGTCCTACTCTCTTTAGTAGGCGCGCCTTTCAACTCAGAGGTCAACAGTTGTAATTTGATATTTCATTCTTTTTGTATTAGGACATCCCCCTATATATTAATTGAGAACGTGTTGAGCCTATGTGACAGGCTCGCATGCTTCGGGATCCTATGTGACAAAAATACATGCTTCGTTATTAAGTTTTGGTAGATTTAATTTACTTCTAATCCAAATATATTTAGATTCGGATTATCTATAATATGTTGGTTATTTATGATATGGGTGGACGCGGGCCGGGATGGTCCTGGATTTGACTTGTCCGGATACCGATCTCACTTTTATGAATCCATCCATGAACAATCCGGGATGAGGCACCGTCTCCACCCATGTAATACATGGGTGTTGTACTAGTCATTATGTTATTTTGAAAAAAAAAATTATATTAAAAATTCATTTGTTCTATATTTTATTTTGTTTCTATAATGATATATTTAATAAATTAATTAATTTATTTTTATTAAACTTACTCAACAAAAAATATTCACCACCATGCGTCCCCTTTATCAGTGTATATAAATTCATGTGGATTGTGATGGGTATATACTTTAGATCCTTCTAATAATTATAAGCTGATCTTTGTGACAACTGACACACTAGCGGACCACTATTCCTTTATTAAATTAAAATATGAGGTTTGAATAAGTACACTGACTGAGTGGAAACTGTTCGAATTCCATACAAAAACTGCAAAAAACCCGGACAAAAATGGAGAAAACTGTGGACAGCTCCGGTGAGTTTCCCGGCAGAAAAACTGAATCAACGGTGGTTTCCGATCAGACGTCCGAGGATCATTTCTACGGACAGGTCGAAAAATTGAATGAGTCATCGGGCCTCAGCCTAGTGTGAGTCCCCATTAATTTTTCTTCACATTTTGCTTTTCGTCTCATTCTACACTCACTAGTATCTTATCGACACAGACATACAGATTAATTAAAATGTATGTATAGGTGCACACATATATGACTATGCCTGCATGCATATGGAAAGTAAATCAATGTCAATTAATATGGGACGAATAAAGGAAGATCGGTGCTCAAAATTGTGTGCGTGTGTGTGTGTGTGTGTGTGTGTGTGTGTTTCCCTTAGTAAAACTGTAGATTATATATCTCAGAGCACAATTTATTGAATTAGAAATGCCAGGTGCATGCCTTTGATACGAAATTTAATAAAATGGAAACGCATTTATAAGGTACACCATGAAAGGGGCTTAAATGTTAACTATCTGCTGTGCATAATTGGAAAAAGCTCGAATATAAATTGCTACATCGGCCTTGTGGCATTTTTGTGTTGTTAATTGGTGCAACTTGTGGTTGATTAACTTCTTGTGTGTGCAGCTTTAATTTTCGTGATACAAAGTTAGATTTGTATTGTCTGTACAAGGAAGTGATTGAGAGAGGAGGATTTCATCAGGTGCAAAACTCTGTTTTATAGATATATTATTGGCATAAAGTCTTGTCATTTTTCTTTCTTTCTTTTTTCCATTGGTTTCTTTATGTTGTTATGTTCATTCAATCCAAGGCTTCTATTAAACTCGGCTAATTCAAATTGTCTGTTCATATTTGATGAATAAAGTTGGAAAGATAAACAAAATTTTAACTTTTGCATCTGTCCAATTGAAATTTTGAAAATTTTCACATCCGTTACATAATACCAGAATAACTTCAGCAATATTTCAGACAAAATTATGATGATATTTCAATTTGATTTTCAGGTCACTAAGCTCGGAAAATGGGATGATGTTGCATCAGCCTCAAACCCTATCAGCTCTGTGCTTACATCAGCATCTCAACTTCAGAACATCTATCAAGCGCTCCTCATACAGTACGAACTAATGGACTCCCGAAATATGGCAGAAAAAGGAAGTTCATGGCAGGACAAAACTTCTTCAGGTTAAAAAAACACCCTAAAACTCTTTATTTCATTAATATCACTTCTTCTGATTTTTTTTTTCTTTTTTTTTTTGTTATATATATATATATTTGACAGGTTGTGGAGCGAGCTCAAGCTTCTCGACTGGAAAGCGCCGGCATATTGATCAAGATAGCCAACTGGATAATTGTCCTCGTGAAGTCGCCTCAGGTTAATTTCCGATCTTTCCTTCTATTTTTCCTTTTTCCTTTTCGAGATAATAGTGATTTGAAATTGAAAAATATGCAGAACGGAAGGCAAGGCGAAAGAAGTCGAATGCTAAGAATTTAAAAACTGACCCGGATGCTCCATTGAAGCCGAGGAGTGGTTATAGCATCTATCTAAGGCTGGAGATAGATCGACTAAAGAAAATTTACGGAGAGAAAGCAAATGGCATGAACATTCGTGAAATGGTGACTAATGCCTGGAGGTCCCTCTCTGATGAAGAGAAACAGGTACATTTGGGCCTTTTTTTTAATAGATAATTCGCTTCGATCCGAAATATTTATTAGACATCAAATTGAGATAATAATGTTGATAAATCGGTCATATGCACTGTTATTTTTAAATTTTGGAGCTGTGCAGCCGTACTTTGAAGCAAGTAAAATAGACAAGGAGAGGTACAGAAAGGAGATGGGCGCTTATAATAATAAGCAGCTAAATGATGAACCAAAAGTGGGGCCCACGGATGATGTTTATCATGTGTCCTTATCTCTTGATGAACCAAAAGTGGGGCCCACGGATGATGTGGCGAACAACAAAGGCCCTGGCGGCCCTGTGGGTGTGCCTTATGACTCCAACAATGACTGGGCTTTCTACTGAGGGAAAAAACGCCAAGGGGCATATTTTATATGAATGATATCATATATATTATGTTTTTGGCCACAAACATGCAAAAATTGCAACCTTTTTGTTAGACTTAGACATGCTATGCCTTTAATTGGGTTTTGTGTTTGTAATTTGGAGTGGTTATAGATATATGTAGTTTCTTTTTCTTGAAAATGCCATGCACTGCAGACTAAAGATTATTAGTTCTTGCAGGCTCAAAAAAGTTATGGGCCAATTTTTTGTGTTTTTGAAAGGTTGAAGTTACTTTTGTCATCCAGAATGAAGAACCCATTCGCGTTTCACTTTTGGAATCTCTTTCAGTTGTGAAAATAAGATTATGT